GGGGGGGGGGGGACGCGAGCGATACACCGTATGCAGCCCGATTTCTAACATTCGACTCTCGTTTGCTGCAGCGACCCGCCTGCAGGGTGGCCTCCAGCACCTGGTGTTCAACAAGGTGCTGAGGCTGCGCGCCAGCGACGACCGCGCGCTGGGCCAGGTCGTGACCTTCTGCTCGAGCGAGCAGGAGCGCATGTTCGACGCCATCCACATGGGCAGCATCACGGTGGGCTCGCCCGTCATGTTCATCATGGCCGTGGGCTACTCGTGCTGGCTCATGGGCCCCTACGCGCTCATCGGCAACATCATCATCCTGCTCTTCTACCCCATCATGGGCGTGGTGGCGGCCCTCACGAGCCGCGTGCGCACCAACACCGTGCAGCTCACCGACAAGCGCATCAACATCATGAGCGAGATCCTCAACAGCATCAAGCTCATCAAAATGTACGCCTGGGAGGACAGCTTCGCCGACAACGTCAAGGGTGAGTTCAAATGCGAAATTAGCACACGAAGCATTTCTTTTGGTTGCGTCTTGTTTATTTGTTTGTATTCGTTTTTACTTTATTTTCTCAACTCGATTGGTTTAGATGTCCGTGAGCACGAACGCGTGCAGCTGCAGCGCGCCGCCTTCCTCCAGTCCTTCAGCAGCACCATCTCGCCCTCCATCACCATCCTCGCCGCCATCTGCACCTTCATCGCCTACACGGCGGCCGGCTACGAGCTGGACTCGCAGATCGCCTTCACCGTGTACTCGGTCTTCAACGCTCTGCAGTTCACCGTGGCCACCCTGCCTTACGGCATCAAGTGCATCACGGAGGCTCGCGTGTCCTTCCAGAAGATGGAGGTCAGTATTGAGTACCTACTGTTTGAGTTGGGTGAGCTCGCACCTGCGCTAAATCACAGACTTTCGAACACATTTTCTCCGCTACCCACAGAAATTCATGCTGAAGCCCGACATGAGCACCCACTCCGACAAGTACGTGCCCGTGTTCAACTCGGGCGAGACGGCCCTGGGCATGAAGTCCGCCTCCTTCGTGTGGGACGACGCCGACGCCCAGGGCGTCGACAACTCGGGCTTCGAGGGTGAAAAAGGGAACGAAACCGCGTCGCTGCGCAACATCGAGATGAACGTGAAGAAGGGCGCGCTGATCGGCGTCTGCGGCTCCGTCGGCTCCGGCAAGACCTCCCTGCTGTCGGCAGTCACAGGAGACGTGAGTATCGTGGGGTCCTTGGCCAGAATGCCGTTGGGATCCATATTACTGATTACAAACTTGTGACTGCAGATGATCTGTGTGGGCGGTGACATGCAAATCAACGGGAGCGTGGCCATCGTCACGCAGCAGGCGTGGATCTTCAACGAGACGCTCCGGGAGAACATCATCTTCGGCCTGCCGTACGACGAGACCCGCTACCGCCGCACCATCGAGGTGTGCTCGCTGACCCGCGACCTGGAGCTGCTCCCCAAGGCCGACATGACGGAGATCGGCGAGCGCGGATCCAACCTCAGCGGCGGCCAGAAGCAGCGCGTCAACCTGGCGCGCGCCGTGTACGCCGACAAGGACATCATCCTGCTGGACGACCCGCTGAGCGCCGTGGACGCGCGCGTCGCCAAGCACATCTTCGACAAGTGCATCAAGGGGGCCCTGGCCAACAAGACGGTGATCCTGGTCACGCACGGCATCCAGTTCCTGGAGGAGTGCGACGAGATCCTCTACATGAAGAACGGCATGGTCTCGGAGCGCGGCACGCACGAGCAGCTCAAGAAGAAGGGGGGCGACTACACGCACATGCTGTCCTACGACCAGAACCGCGAGGAGAAGAAGAAGGATAAGAAGGAGGAGGTGGCCGATGTCAAGGACCTGGACGAAGAGCCGCCGATTGGTAAGTGTCTCTGTGGAAGGGAGGCGTTGGCTCAAAGGCCCTCCGCTATCCTGCCTCGGCCGTTTTTACCCTAAACTTCTCTTGCAGATGTCGCGGGTGGCACACTGACCGCCCACGAGGCCCACAAGTCCCTGGGCTTCAAGGCATACATCGACTACTTCAAGTTCTGCGGTGGCCTTTGCATCATGCTCATTCTGTTCACCCTCATCCTGGCCTTCGTGCTCACACAGCTGTTCGCTGGCCTGTGGCTTCAGATATGGCTCGACTTTGGTGACGGCAAAGGGGTGAGTCCAGCTTCCGATCCCCTTCCTGTGAGAGAGTGTTGTGCGCCCCGTCCCGTGGACTCCGACTCACCGTGTGCTGTCTGCCCGCAGGGAACGAGCGTCATCAACAACCCTAATCTAGGCACCTACCAGATCATCTACGGCTCCACCTTCGTCCTCATGTTGGTCACCGGAAGTATTAAAGGGTACGGGTTCGCCCGGCAGCTGGTTCTCGCCTCCTCCAAGATGCACGACACAATGTTCAGAAAGGTAGGCACTCTTACAGTCCAAGCCCACCCCCCGATCGCATCCCTAAACATCCAGTCTACGAACCCTACGAACAAATTCTTCTGCCGACCCGCTTCAGGTGATGCGCTGCCCAGTGGCCTTCTTCGACGTGACGCCCGTGGGCCGCATCCTGCAGCGCTTCTCCAAGGACATGGACGAGCTGGACGTGAGGATTCCCTACTACCTGGAGTACGTCGGCCAGGGCATGATCACCTGCATCGGCCAGATGATCATGGTGTGCATCATGTACCCCATGTTCTCCGCCGTGCTGGTCGTGGCCATCGCCATCTTCTCCTTCCTGGAGGTGTGGCTGAACCGCGGGCTGCAGCAGAACAAGAGTCTGGACAGCATCCGCAAGGCCCCCGTGCTGAGCCACCTGTCGTCCACCATGGCGGGCCTCAACGTGATCCGCACGTACGGGCGCCAGGACGTGCAGCTGCTGCGCTTCCGTCGCCGCCTCAACCGCTCGCTCGCCTCGGACCTCATCTACCGGTCGTCGGTGCGCTGGTTCACCTTCCGCATGGACATGATCTGCGTCGTGCTCGTGGCGCTCACGGGTCTGGTCACCGTCCTGCTCCGGGACGACGCGTCGTCCGCCAAGAGCGGTCTGGCGCTGAGCAGCGTGTTCGCCGTGTGCAACGTCATCCCCTTCGTGATGCAGATGGCCTCGGAGCTGCAGGCCCGCTTCACGTCGGTGGAGCGCGTGCTGGAGTACACGAGCGGGCTGACGGAGGAGGCGCCGCGCCGCATCCCAAACAGCCCCAAGCCCAAGCAGTGGCCCGTGCGCGGGGACGTGCTCATGGAGGACGTGGAGCTGCGCTACCGCGAGGGGCTGCCGCTCGTGCTGCAGAAGGTCAACGCCGACATCCACGGCGGCGAGAAGATCGGCGTGGTGGGCCGCACCGGCGCGGGCAAGTCCTCGCTGATCAACACCCTGCTGCGCTTCCAGGAGCTGGCCGGCGGCCGCATCCTCATCGACGAGGTCGACATCTCCAAGATCGGGCTGACCGACCTGCGCTCCTCCATCGCCATCATCCCCCAGGACCCCGTGCTGTTCGAGGGCACCATGAGGTACGGCAGACGCACGAAGCCTCTACAGTCGTGACTTTTCTCACAAAGCACCCGCCACCCCAGCCAGAAATGCTACCTCTAAACGTCGTCTAAGGTCTATTTTTTGACCATTTAGACGTCCTTGATGGTCAAAAAATAGACTGTAGACGCCGTTTACAGGAAGCATTTCGACGCATCCGTGCAACAAAGGCGGATCAAAAAGCGGTCGCTGAACAGCGACGGATCAGAAAGCGGTCGCTGAACAACGACGGATCAGAAGACGGTCGCTGAACAACGACGGATCTGCTTTTTGCTGATCTCGGCATTTTTGACTTTGGAGGCCTCTCACTCATCGCAGAGACGTTGTATCGTTTTCAGTAAAACACCATTTTAATTGTCACCATCTCGTGAATAAACAGAGACAGCAACCAACACGATGCGATATCTCTAAGGAGAGTAAGAGGCATTCAAAGTCAACTATGCAGAGATCAGCAAAAAACAGATCCGTCGTTGTTCAGCGACCGTTTTCTGATCCGTCGTTGTTCAGCGATCGCTTTCTGATCCGTCGTTGTTCAGCGACCGCTTTCTGATCCGCCTTTGATGCACGGATGCGTCGATTTCTGGCTGGGACGAAACACAAACGAGCCGTTTTCGTCTCTTTCCAGATTCAACCTCGACCCGTTCGAGGACTTCTCGGACGAGCAGATCTGGGAGGCGCTGGAGAAGTCGCACGTCAAGGAGAAGGTGGCCCGCGAGGAGAAGCAGCTGCTCACTCTCATCAGCGGCGGCGGACAGAACTTGTCCGTGGGAGAGAAGCAACTCATCTGCCTGGCCCGTGCCGTCCTCAGGCGAAACAAGGTGAGAGAGGGTTGTGAGGCGAGCTGGGGGGGGGGGGGAGGGTTGCTAGACCAAACCTGAAACGACAACCTCCTCGTCTTCCCTCAGATCCTCCTCTTGGACGAGGCCACCGCGTCCGTGGACGTGGAGACCGACTTCCTTATCCAGCGCACCATCCGCGAGGCTTTCCACGACTGCACGGTCCTGACCATCGCCCACAGGCTACACACCGTCGCCACCTACGACCGCGTCATGGTCATGGACGCCGGCAAGGTAAGGCAGGACACACTGTCCCGGGCCATGTGTCCAAGTGTCCTGCTAGTCCCCCGACCGGTTCGGCAAGCGCCGTACGCGTGGGTTGAGCGGGTGGCCTATCCCAGCCCCACAGGCTGACTGACTCGCTGGTGTCTGCTTGCAGGTCATCGAGTTCGACACGCCGGCCAAGCTCCTCGGCGACGCCAACTCGGTATTCCGACAGATGTCGGAGGCGGCTGGAGTGACGGTGGAGACCATGGAGGCGGCATCGTGAACATCCTCCTCCAAGATTTTAGATTATTTATTTATTTAACTTTTAATGCAAGTACAAAGATCACAATCCACCACCAGCCCTTCACTTTCTCACAATACAGCAGTTTTGATTGTCAAGGGATGTTGGGCATTTTGAGGGCGAAAGTAATGTTTCTTCCCTTAACACGTTCAGAGCGGCGTGATCACTATGTGGCCACGCTTTGCGGGGTTTTCATACCTTCAAGATGCACAGCCCCTCTGAACATATTAATTCAATATGCACGTTGCTGGCCGTGGAAAAAGGATGTGGTCAAGACAGATTATCGTGCACGGCAGTAGCTGAACTAAACCAGACAGGAGCGACGAACAAAGATAAAAAGGAGGGTCGAGCACAAAACCAAAGACGCGACAGCCATCACCGTACGATCCTCCTCCCCTAGAACTTTCGTATTTCAGCTGTGATAAGTTTGATGAAGAGTGTGTAAATAAGGAAAAAATACTCTAAAACGAGTATGCCATTCTTTCACCTAAGTGTGTTTTGATGTAGACGTTACTGTAATAAGGAAGTGTGATGATATTAATAAAGGAATGTATGGACTGATACAGAACTGGCGAGTTTATTTATCACCCTTTGAAATATTGCCGCATATAGTCGGTTTTTAAAATAACTTACATCCTGATAGTTGTATCGATTCAAATATGTCAGCGTTCCGGTGCGAAATGACTACCAAAGCTATACACGACCACGGCATCGTTTGACACCGTTTGCTATATTATTCAGAGGCTGACTCAACCCGCGTGCACTTCTGCAGTTATGCTGTACCGCAAAGCGTGCGTGCGTGCGGGCGACAACATCGCGCTTGACCGTGGCGCCTTGCGGACCGAGCGATTAGGCAATCCGCCCACACGTACACAGTAAAATCTAGGTGTTCTGTGAGAGATCGCCTTAGTCGCTGGCACCCAAAAATTACGCGCAGTATAGTGTCATGCCGGGCGGGTATTGACTAAGACCGAAATGGGTAAACCACACACCGACACGCTATGCAGGGTGTAGCACGATGGTTGAAGGGTGTAAGAAATGAAGTGCAAAGATATTCAGTTCTTAGGGCCGACCACCAAGTACTTACTATTTAGGCTGATGTTCTCAGGCCAAGGACCGAGGCACGTCTGACGTGTCGTGCGCCGATCGAGCCGTCCCGGGCTGGATCGGGTAGCACCCCGCGCTGTCGCGAATGCAGCGCG